GGTGACTGAACCAAGGTTGCGAAACTATTGCGTGTGGTTACGTCACATCGAAATCTGTAACACTGTGTATACCGAAACCGTTAGCTATGAGTGTAGAATATACTAATGGAAGTAATTATAGTAAGCAAGTAATTGCCATGTTAATTATGTGGAAGGTTAGTAACTTGCATATCATGATATGTGGCCGACAGAGGTATGAATATTTAGCACTATACTCAAAGCGGATGAACCATTGCGTGGTTAAGGTGAACCATACTCAGGAAATACGATGATGGAGAGGGTGGATTGGTTATCGACAGAATTCCAATTATTCTCCTCATTTCATGCTATGGAAAAGTTTAGGCAAGGAAGCCCAAACTTGACTTATGTTGTGTCTTTAACAAAGCAGGCAGCATATGGGGACACCAGGCCAAATTCATTTGAACAGAGAGCAGTTAAGCAACCGGCTTATCAGATGGTGGGTAACGACACGGGGATGCCAAACTGACCGTAATTTAGGTGCTTGTTGAGTTATTGGTTTATTTATTCCAATTTTGTCAAATCAGTAGCTGGCAAGTCACCAACAAGCTGGCTTCAACATGTACGAATAAAGCAAACATGTTTATGAATACTTGTGTGCGCAACCCTCGGTGTTTTGGTTCTCTTCCAGAACTCACGAATTTTTTACAAGTGCAGCATCATGCACTTGTACACCTTACATCCCATCCTGTGTCACATTAGTCAGGCCTCAACAATCCACTTTCTAGCTATGGTCCGTTATCAACTTTAAAGGGGTGGGCTGGACCCAATGAATATAAGCTCACCTTAGTAATCTTTCCGTGATTGCCAGCGATTTGTATGGAGATGACATAAGCATTGCGACTGTGCAGCTGTGTCATACATAAAACGTTGTGGGGAACTAGTGTCTATATTACCGTTTTCCAAATATGTCTGTGTCACACTGTTCATGCTCCTGCGGCGGTTGCGGTCGGATGCCAAGTGTTCTCTTTTAGCTTTATAACTGACAAACGAGCCAACATTTACATCAGTCGCCTACTTGGTTTAATGTATAACCAAATGCTCGGGTAATCTCAGGAATTGAATAGGAATCAAAAGGGCGATAACGTGTTAACTAGTCCATAGTGGGCCGATGGCCACAGGGTGAAACATGATCGATTGAATTATGCTTATAGTTTGACTGAGAACCTTTATTAACAATGTCCAATCGCAATAGTATATTATGTGAAGCTCGGTACTGTGTACTTGTGGTAACCGTGCAGTACGTCGACTTCAACACGTATCGACGTATTGGTCTTACTCATACGTAGTCGGGTGAAAATGCGGCACGCAGAGGAGCAACGGTGGTACGAAGCTGAATCTCGGAATTAATGTTACTCGGCAACCCACCACCCAACTTCCCAAATACAGATAAGAACAGTGCCAGCGCTCAGTATCCTTGTTCTTATAGTGTGCTGTCCATAAGGTTAGGTTGAAAAATTTCCCTTAGTTGTCTGATCCACATGTGCTGAAACATTTTCTTTGCTACTAACTGTTACAAAGCTTGGGTCATTTTCACTGTGCCCGTAGACAAACTTGTTGTTTCGTTTTCTTTGCTTTTATCGTACTCTTAAATCTAATAGCGCTTTGTCCACAATTTTGCGAAACGATTTCATCTGAGCCAGTAGTAAAAGTGATGTTTCTGGTCCACTCAAAGTGAACTATACACTTTCGGATGTTTGTCGCAAACATATAAACAATTATTTAGGTATTTACTTATTATACACTTCATACATTTATCTGAAAGTGACGAATTTGAATTAAACAGTTACTTTCACTAACTCACATAATGATTACAAGGAAACAATTGTCCTAATCCATAGTTAACAATGTACAGCGCAAGTGAGACATTGTCATCACGTTTACTACCTAGTGAACCAATAGGGATGAGCAATCGATTGACCAACTCAGGTGATCCCAGTTCATGACAAGAACGGTTGATGTACTGCAAACAATCTGCTTCATAAATTTGAATGATGCTACGGTACTACGGTCAAGGCAACATTGAATACGCAAGCACTGCGGATATTAGAATTGTTATGCGTAGCCGACAGAACCGTTAAACCAGAAACCACACGAACAAACTAATGAATAAAAACTTTGCCTTCCGTCGAATGTTGTTAACGAGTTGCTAGACTATAGGCGGTGACTAGCGCTGTTGTAAGAAAATATCTATGAACGTGCTGAAAAGAAGGTTCCTAAAAGAGCCCATGGCATAGATAGCATTGAGAATTTCCAGCCTTCTTATTGGAAGCCTTAAAATAACCATCACAGTGAGTTTTTTAGTAAATTTATCGTTGGAACCCAATTATCGCATGGACCTTCTGTGAATAACCGCCTTCTACTGCATCTTATCACTGCAGCCACAACACAAGAGGAAACAACAACTAATGGAGCAAGTAGGTTCAATAACACTGTGATTGATATAGCAAATGATAAAACTCCTTCTATAGTGCTCAGTGTTACATTTTCCAGTCTGCTTTTTTGTCAGATTGATTGTTCTCACCTCTAAAATCCACCTGTGCTTATACAATGTTATTTCCTCCCTAAGCTGTTTGCAGTAGACTCCCTTCTTTGATAAAGCTTGTTATGTGGCACAAATTGCGAGTTGTGTTGTGACTCCTACTGACGGCAAGAACATGAAACACTAAGCGGTTTCGCCTCCCACATAAGAGGAATCCTGTTATTTTCTTCACTTTATTCTTGCTTGCAATTCCTTTCCTAATGTGACAACGTCCGCACCACTTGCATATTTTCGGTCGTGCTTATGGTCACTGGTATAGGTAATTTCACTCCGGTAATCTGGTGCATTCTGCATCCAACAAATACTTGCAAGACAAACCCATGCTTTTGTTTACATCAGTAATTCTGCTTTGCACTGACCATGAGGTAACTATCCAATGTACTGTGATTTTCAACACCCTGGTAGTAAAGCTCATTTATTTTCACGTAATGAACACGTCATTAGTTGCTTTGCCATTTGCATTTAAAAAATAAGCCATTTTAATTTTTCAAACTGCTTGTTCCGTTGTTCTTTACTACCTCAGCATATTTTCACCCATAGTTGTAACGGAGTGTAAGGATAGAGTTCCAGGCTACCTTCGAAACCTATTTCATAAGTACTAAGGACTGACACTTGGTAAAATAGTACGAGTACGTCGTTGCACCAATCTTAGATGTGTTACCATATTAATGACACCTAATGCTTCCGCGTTTACTTTTAGGCAGTGACGCGGAAAACTATTGTGGTCTGCCTACGGGAAATCAATCAGTTGGCTCCGCGGCTTGCAGGAGAGAATTTGGCTTTAGTAAGTATCGGAGGTTTCATACACCGTGCAATGTTTGTCGATTTACTTCGGGTTTAGTTCTCCACAACTGAAAGTATCCTTATCTGTAACATGGTACAATCATGTTAACTCAGGATAATTTGACATCTAAATGTTTACATGTTAGAATAGAGTGCTTACTGGTGTGTATTTCCTGAGTTATATGCGCAAACTTCACAAAGTCCAAGTTTGCTTTCACAAATGTCTTGCGTTCAATTTAGCCCCTCCTGGTCATCTCCAGGGACTGGCGGAGTGCGCAAGTAAGTCAAGCTCCGTACACAAACACACTAGTCAAGAACGAAGTAGCTTAATGTTGGCGTTTATATTGTTTGCATATACATTCGGCTGCGTTGTCCTCTTCATCGTCCATACCTACAAAGCAGAAGCAATAAACTTTAACTAGCTATGCTTCGTACATGCATCCGTTTGCATAACATGTGTTGGAGCACATTGTCCCAAAATTATCGCGTAACTTTCTGGTGCATACTTGTACTACAGATTTCTAGAATAACGAATCATCACAATATTGTGGTATAAACTTACCGTTCCTAATACAAATAGTATTGTGAATCTTCCGGAAACGAATTGATAAATTCCATTGCGCGATGTTCTTTATGACAGTAAGTGGTGGTATCATTTACCTGGATCCTTTAACTTTGGTCTGATGTTGTACCAGTAAGCAAGACAAGCAATGTGTTTCTGTTAGGAATCAGGTAATGTGGAAACAAATTTAAGTAGAGACATTCTTACCATTGGGTATTAACAACCTTTCATTGCGGTACATTAAGTGGCTAAGGATTGCTTTGAGACAAATTGCTGTTTGGCTTGACGATTTATGCTGCAACGCAAGCACTGGGAGGTCCTTACAAATACATAAGTAAAAATATAAGAGAGATGAGGAAAACAACTTCACATTTAAGCAAATCTCCGTGGAAATTTCGCATTTTCCCCCTGCTATTTAAATATAACACTAACAAAATTATGCATGCACTTTGTTTACTACGGATATCCACTGGTCCCGTTACATAATTTCATTGCAACAAATATGATTGGGTAAAAGTTAAGCTATGATGGGTAACGATTCAAATACCTTGTTTATAGCCAGACAACCGCGCACTAGTCATTAATTTGGAGGATTGTTGGAAGAGCGTACCGCTTGACTGGAATGCACTAGCAAATCGCATCCCCACTGGATCCATCCGTATTCCGGCCCATTAACAAGCAATTCGCATTTTATCCACCTGTACCACTGGACCATTGATTATGGCGTTGTGTATAAATCGACGGTACCACTAACAGTACTATGGCTCCTCTTCCTCCACTACTCTAAGCCTTGTAGCCACGCCTATGTTGCGGTGAAGCCAAGCTACATGGACTCTATTGCTAACTGCTCACCTATGGTATTTTGCATGAAACACTAGTTATCGTGATTGAAAAGAACGGTGAACGAGGTACGAATTTTAAGTATGTTTGTCAGTCGATTAATTACACTCATTTTACATATTGAAGAAGCATTGCTATAGCGTGGTACCAAAAATCGGTACATATAATCAATGGGTAATGTAGCTGGGGTCATAGTGACACCATTGACCTCGGTGGTCATTAGTAATTCTTCAAAGGATCAACCCATGTTGAAGGATGGCCACACACGGCAATTCGGTACTGGTAAGCTCGCAATGGTGCGAAACTTCAACCAACCTCCAAATAATATTCAAAGATGACACCCAAATATAGGTTTAGTAACCTAGTGAGCGGCAACTGTCTTAACTGGGTGAGTTCAAATGGCGCATTTTTAAAATCTAGACTTTATACTGATTACGCGCATTATAAAGATTCTTCCCGTAAGTTACTGCCAGGAAAATCCCCACATCATGAGTAGCTCAAAACAGTTAGTTTAAATGTTCATGAAATTTGATCGTGCATGAGGAATGTTTACGAAAGCCATGCATTAGGACGCCAGCCCTGTCCTCCGCAACGTTTGTAACTGTGGAAGATAAGTTACACTACACCACATTTATCTTATTGATCACATCGACCCGCCGCTGTTCGCCGAACATCTTGTCTGTTGCTTTTCTGGGAGTTTGGAGGAATATCTGATGTTGAAGTCCTTGCGTTGAAATTCCATTAAAATAATAAACCATTTAAGCTTTGACGGGCACTTCTGTGAGAACACATGAAGCTTTCAATGAAAATAAAGTGTTTCGATCGTTTAACAGCAATCTATATAATTGGTTTGTTCAAGATATTTTTGCCGGCAAGTTCGTTTTCTGAAATTTCCTTCTTCTCCAGTTACCTGTGCAAAGAAGCAGAAGGGGTACCACAAAAATTATTGCATGTGCATGTGTGAGTCATTTCTGTTAAATCTTATGGGTTAACTGGAATGCGTTAGCTCCATATGAATGTGGATTTGCAAGATATTGCAGCTACTTTTGGAACTCTCAGCGCGCCGAATGTCTTGTAACCTAGCACAGCTTAATTTGGAAAACAAACAACTAAGGTTCAGTCCATCTCTTTCGACACAGTTGTTCTTATTTCATCAGTAGTGTTTTGGTAACGGCAGACAGACCTTAGTTGGATGAGCACCAGTAAAAGTAGTTAAGCCAACATTCGCATGCGGTATGTATTTCGAGCTCCTAGTTCCCATTTTATTTGACCAATAAGTTATTTTCCATCTTAAATCTGCCACAACTAGAACTAGTGTGGCCTTTATGTCATTGTTTAGACGTTCAGTCATCGCCGTGCTACGTTGCAGTTAATAATGAGCCTCCATTTTATGTAAAAAGGCAACAACGGTAGATGCTAAACAAGAGAACTGAGATAAACAGCATTTAATGTCGTAATACATTTCGCGGTGTTACACTGTTCCATTTTACAGAAATGCAGCTGTAATTGGCTTACAGTTAGTGTGCTTTTTCTTTTTCATCTCTTGTCAAATACAAAGTATAACTTGCTCCATGGCAATGAATAACCTTTAACTCATTACTCATTATGTACCTCTTCAGATGGATGCTGCTCAAGGATACGGTTCCAAACATGTGGAAGTAGGTAGCAACTTTTAACCATGTCATTTAAATTGTGTTGCGTGCTATAACATATCGTAATAAAATGTCATGTTTTCTCTACAGTTGGTTGCTGCGATATTGGTGGAACAAATGGCACATGTCTCAGTAAGTTGGGACAAAAGTTGCCGGTTTTTAACCAAATGACACATTTTTGTTCACGATGATACACTGATGAACAAGCAAATTCTCCATATTTTAAGTTTTCATTTGCTTAGTCTGATCTTACTAAAAATGCAAAATGCACCACCTGCAATTGGCCAGAAAAGTACAGCCAGCATTCCAAAGATGAGGCGACGATGCTTGCGCTCTCCAGATCGTTCCATCCGAAAGGCACAGGAAACTCTGAGGCAGGTCAACAAAGTAGCCGAAGGATTTTGATTTTGTCCAATCTATCAAGTCATTCCAGTTGTCAACGGTTTATGTAGGCTCAAAATGACTGAAACAGTTGTGCAGTGCGTGAATACTAAAGTCATTCCCCAACTATTGCATATGGCAATCCTCATACCTTAACCAGCCAGCGAAGGCCGAAGAATAGGTCCAAACGCTCCAACCGCACTGCATCGTCTGTGACTTCACCTCCTCTGACTCATCTCACTCCCGTAAGAGGACAAGCATCGAGAAGGCCTGCTTCCACTCATTTCAGTGGTGCAACCCGCATCAATCTAGTGGCGGTAGTGACAGCTCCAAGTCCCAGTTCGTCCACCATAGACAAGCTAGGTATCATATGCCTCAGTGAACTCTATGCAAAATCCGGAGAAAACACCCTTGATTCCGGTAGCAGCACTACGAAACATTAAGGTGACGCAGACAAGGCAACCAGCCAAACTATCTAAGTTAGTGTCAATTACTGCCCGCCAACCTATATCCAAGCGAAGGTAACACTGTGCTCCAATTGTTGTGTGTGTCTCAGAATCGCAGTCTAGTACCATATAGTAGAGGCCGATGAATGAGGGTAATTGATGGAATACCATTTGTGGTGCGAGCGGCATTTCGAGTGACCCCATGACATAGAGACGGGACCCAAGTCATCCAAATTCAATGCATTACTGTAAACCTCGACTTCTCCGGTTGACACTGAGTTCCGCTGTCGACACAGAGGCCGTACTACTGTCTTCGATTCGGCTCCATAACCGATAAAGCGAGGTGAGCATACTTCTGGACATCCTTTGAAACGAACGTCCTAAAGGGAATAGCAACCAGGAAGAACTTGGTAAATCTGACAAAATACGGACGATTGTTGTTTACGGGGTTCCTGAGCTTCAAACATCCTCCTCTGAAGAAGCGGAGACACAAAACCGGGGGCAAGTGAGTTACATCCGGCATGAATTCTCCCTTGACAAATGGTTGCTAGGCAATTGACAAGCATCTCAGTATAACCCAATTACAATGGGAACGTTCCCAGGCTCATGAAGGTGATGCTTCATTCTGAGCTAATGACACAGCATATATTGGAAAATCCATCTAAATTCCGCAAGTGGCTGCCTATAGAAATTCGGTTAAAGGCAGCATGTACATGATCGTGGGTGAATAAAGATTCCCTGGCTACGAGAAAATTGGTAAAGCTTCCCCTCAGCAAGCACTGCGAAGTGACAGATTTATTGACAATCTCAGCATCTAGCAAAATAAGACAAAATCCGAGAAAGCATCAGGATCAGGACAGCTGAGAGTAGCCGTAATACCAAAGCGAATTTCAAAAGCCGTCGACACCTCAAAAAAGGGCTAGTTTCCGCCCTCTCAACGGTAGACACAATCGCCATTCTTGGTTCAAGGTCCAATAATTCACTTTTGGTTACTGAGAAACTGATCTAATTGTACACTAATGCACAAGGCATTGATAGTAAGTTGGTCGAACTCCGTCACCCTCAGGTTTCAGAACCTCGAGGTATCATAATGATCGTTAAAACGTGTCTACGATGTGAAATTACCGATTTTAGATTGTGCTACCGGATATGTCACTCGCCTAGAACTACAGAACGAGTAGGGGATGGGGAGTGCTCATTTCTTACAAAACAAGCCTTCATTGTGAGCTCATAGATGTTTCTCAAACGTGTGTCACATATCTTCTTCGGTGAAAGTTGTTGTTGAAGGACAATGACATATGCCTTGTGTCCATAGTTTAACGACCGCCCAAATCCACTACTGATATTGACCACAGACTAATATCTGCATTGCACATTATGGTAAATCACAGATACACCCATATCCTCAGAACAGGAGTTATCAAAATCCATGAGCCGGAAACTCCTACAACCGAGGGCGAACACTTCAAAGCCCATTACAAGAGATAATCTAAAGCACACCCCCATACAACCGCTTCACCGCTATCACCACGTGCAGAACAGCGAATATGCCATCAGTGTTAGATCTAATGCTCATCAACTAGGTGCTCATGGTTGATAGGCGGAATGTATGCAGTCCTCTGGGTCGAAGCGATCACGTGACTTCACCTTTTGCTACGCTGAATACCCCGATGCCGAGTCCGAAAAGCTGTAGTCTGATACGCATTATCATGTAATGCCCGTAGTCTCTGAAAACGCTAGTTTGACACTCATGATTGAGTGCATCCCAGAAATAGCCTGGGAAACCTTGAAAACATTCAAGTCACTAGTCACGGAAGCATCAGAGCCAAAGACTTTCTATCACCCTCTCAAAGCAAAAGCATTTCTGGGAGACCAATAACGCAAATTTATGGCCTTGGGTGATCGGACGTGGCGCATTCACAAAAACAAACCCAGTGCAGAAAGTTGGACAGCCTACGTATCTCAGCACAACTATTTTCTGCCTTTGGTTTGTGAGGTCAAGGTAACGCAGCAGCAGTAGCTGGCGAAACCAATCTCTTGGAACCGAAAGCTTTTTTCCAAACATTCCAATATACTTCATAAGATTTAGCGTGGAATCCCACCATTCACTATGATTGGTGGTTACATAAACACTAGAAAAGCGGCGTCCACTGCCTTACGAGCCCAGTACTCATCTACTTTCCAAGATGTACGAGCCTCGAAAGATATCCCTGCTTCTGTCAGAACACAATCAATTTTATCCAGCATCGCATTTACAGTGGAAATGGTGCTGAAATAGCTACTACCCTTAAGTAAACACAGTCCTCCCGTAGTGGATAACATCCACTATATAGCACTGAAAGTAGCAACCACGCACTTGGCCGAATCACGTGCTGGATTTTTTCAGCGTTGTCTGGACGAACGCAGTTTCATCAAAATGGAAAAGGATATTATAACCCCCATTCACGTGGAAAGAATTCGATTTGCTATTGCCAGTTACCGCCCGGTAACGCTTCTGCATATGCTTGCCACAGTCATGGAAGTGATCATCGCAGATACACTGATGTTTCGCCTAAGTAGCACGGATTTTCTCAACAGTAATCATTTACTACCAATCTGCTGATAGCATGTGAAACTTTAACCGAAAAAGTCGATGAGGGAACATGAGCCGATGTTAGCTACACGGACTTTTCGAAAGCCTTCTATGATTTGGATCATCGAATATTGTTTCACAACATTCAGCGCCATGACATCAGATATATATTGAGATAGATCGAAAACATTCTCCATAAACAGCAAATGAATGTTCCCGGCCGGACTTTTTTGACCGACCCGATACTAGTAGAGTGCGGTGTACCGTAGAGTTCGGTACTTGGGCCTCTTCGTTCGTACTTTTAATCAACGGTCTAACGCGACTTATAACCCCAAGTTTCTAACTCTTCGCGGACGACGTTAAGATTTAGTAGACAATTCAGTGAATGGACGACTACAAGATCCTCCAGCGCGACCTCGATAAGGCCTGGCGCTGGTCGGTGAGGAACGCGCTACCCATCAAGTGTGGATACATGTACATCCGCCATCAACATGCTTACACTTACAAGCTTGAGGCCTAGGGTCTGCAGGCAAGCTCGCAGTAATGGGACATCCGTGTGCTTGTACAGGATGACCGCGCTTGTTGCAGACAGAGTACGCTTCAAGAAGAGGTAATCAGCACGTTAGTCTCTAGCGGAAGACAGCTGGAAGTTTGGATTCATCCAGTTTCTCTCTCCTGCTCAATGCATACGTACTTCCCCACGTCGGCTACGCAATCCAGGATTGGCATTCTTGGCTAAAGAGTGGCCCTGCAGAGCCCGAAACACCCCAACATCAACCAAAAAGTTAGTCAAGGGATTGCGCAACCTTCCCTACCAGAAATGACTGAAGTCACTCGGAGTGTTCCGTGGACGATACAGGCGGCTACGTAGAAACCAGCTACTGAACAACCCCACGTACGTATGCTGGCACCTACCGAAACTCAGCCCAAACACCAACCTCAGAGGCAACAGCCTGAAACTGAACCAAATACAGTCATCTAGATAGCCCACGAAATTACTTCTCCCTCCAGATCTGCCAAAGCTGAAAAGACTTCCAAACGCAGTTGTCTGTGCCCCAACTTAGCTATTTTCAAATATCGATTAAATATCGATTTGAACACTCAACACTTTTTTACCTAAATGGATATTCCGGATATTTTATGGCTAGCAACGTTGGAATTATGACCTACAGTGATGTAGGTAAATTTTTATAGAGAAGTGGACAATATGCTTGTTACTTGCTATGCATAGTAACGGTGTTCGTGTGGAGCACCGTATTGCTAGTGGGTTGCTGAACATCCATCGTTTCGGTGCGAGAACCCTAGTCTGGGAGACAACTATCCGTATGTTGCTGTTTGCTGACAACTGTGCGTTGTTTACACACAGTGCAGATTAGTTGCAGCACATTACTAGTGCCCTGGCTTCGACAGTGACCAAATTCGGGCTCACCATCAACATAACCAAAACTGTCTGTCTCTTTCACCAGAGGTGCAATCTTCATTATTGCAGCATTGGTACTGAAGTACTGGGAACCACTTCCTGCTTCTGCTACCTAGGGAGTGTGGTGTCGACTCATCAGCATCTACACAGTGAGCTGCGTATCCGCATGGCGAAGGCAGCGGCGGCGTTCGGCAAGCTTGAGTACCGAGGGTGGAACAACCATCAGCTTACCATTGGCACGAAACTGATGGTGTACAAGTCCACGGCAGTGAAAGGTGGAGGATGTACCGGCGGGATGTGCGATATCTCGAACCGTTCCATCAACAGTGTTTGAGACGGATTCTGCATATTT